TTTTATAACATCCACACTGGCGAGGTGGATGCACCCTGCGCGTGTATCCAAAGCGTGACTTTTGCTGTCATGCTGTTGAAATGTCTCGTCGGGGAGGGGTCTGTGGTCAGGGTCGTCTGAGGAGGAAGGAGATGAATGGAGTTGTGAGCGGGACCTTTTATTTAAGATTTATGTTTTTTTATTTCAAAGGTCCTTGTGGCTCAGCAGCAGAAGCATAAATATTACTGTTAAGAAAGCTAAATAAATAAATAATCTAAGTCTGATKAAGGTAAATTAAATCTCTGACAGTGATCATTACACGGTGTGGCTCTAATTCCTCACTTCACCATCCTTGTCGCAGTTTCACGTCTCCAAAAAGAGCGTGCACATGGGTCAGGGCTGGCGTAAGGGACCGCACATTTTCACGTCAAGTTTGGATTTTATAAATCACAACCTTTGTGTGAAAAGTGGCGTATGCAAGTTTCTGGGCTCATATTGTGCGTACACAAGTTTTATAAACCCGACCTGTGGTAAGGACTCTGCAGTTTACACTCATCTACAGGCCAGCGGTCACTCTTTCAGGGATGAAGATGTTCTCATCCTTGATAAAGAGGAACTTTGGTTTGAGAGAGGAGTAAAGGAAGCCATTTTTGTGGACAGAAATKCCCAACATTAAACAGGAGTGACGGTCTCTCTGTCCAAATTAAAAAGTGGATCTTGCACGATATTTCCCCTTAAATCAGTTTAAGTAGCTAGAWATTGGTCCTGGAGAAACTCTGTAAGAAAGTGTTGTAAAGAAATGTAAAGAAATGATCAATAGAGGCACAACTGGTCAAACACCAGATGTTCCAAGGGATGTTGGGACCTTTTGGTTAATTTTGTTAGTTGAGATTATAAATAACCATTGTTCGTACCAGGATTTTCATATTTTAATGAGTCAGTTACAGTCTGTCATCTGTGGAGAACAGGTGGACCTGGCATTTTCTCTGTCTAAATGAAAGGTTCTGMAAAGGAGACAAGACCAAAGGAAGTGTCTATTACAAAGAAAAGGACTAAAAGCAAAGAATTAAGGGTGCACATGGCACACAGACCTTCTTTACTGACTTGAATAATTTATTTAAAATACGAGACTTGGCACTGATTTTCTAGGAAACCTAAATAATCTACAAACCTGTTTAAATCCTAATTTATGGGTTGTAGACATCAATGCATAAATTAAAAGTTTTTCTTGAGGAGAATGCCAGATAACTTTTTTTTCAGAGACAGTGTTTCACCTGTCTTTCTTTTTCAGGACCTTTGTTTTCTTTACTCAGCTCACCTCCCTTACCTCTCCAAATAAACCTTTGCTTAAATCCAACTGTAAATGATTTGGTTTTTGTCTGGACTGTAACAAATGAGCTGGCAGCTGAAGGCATCTTTAATAAGGGAAAACAGGAGCTGAGGGCCAGAAAGCTCTCAGCGACTTGGCGAGCCACAGAACTCACCTGGGAAAAAAATCTGCCAGAGGAGCTGCAGAAACACCACTTAAACACACTCTCCAGGGTCTCAGGCCAAATGGGATACGCATACAAACAGCTTGAATCATTCACGTTTAAAAAATGATTTTTTCCCCCCAAGTGCTGTCAGGGCATTCCATGAATATTTCTCGACTAGTCCCCTTGAGATGAATTTGTTTTTCCTAACATCTACTAAAGTGACCACATTAACACAAAAATGTGTCTTCAAATAAGCTTAATTGATCAAAAGAAAGAAAAAAATTAAACAGAAATAGGAAGAAATTTTCTTATTATAATTCAG